TGCAACTTTATATTAGTCATCAAATGCTTTTTCTGTTCTCCGATAGCTCTACTGAATGCATGGCCATTTCAACCAGCGAAATCGACCAAGGAAATCGTGAGTTAGAGCGAATGAAAGGTTTTCATCATCATGATTTTCTCATCTAATTATTGATATTTTCCGAAAATTTCCGAAATTTGTACATAGCTAGGAAAGTAGTCTAAAGGTTTATCTTCCTAAAGAACTAAATGAAATTGTGTTATATGTTTGCGCATTTATTGATTGAGGGCTAGAAGTTGTCAAGTTATCACCACTATTCACCCCAAATACGGGCCCACAAAGCAAAAGCCGCCGTGCTCGCTGGGCTGGGATGTGTGTGGAAAGGGAGGACCTAGTGCTACTAGGGAGCTGTACGGTTTCGGAGGGGGATTAAGGGGATTACGATAGGGGAAACAAAAGACACGCGGTGCCACGGATGGCTTCAAAGGGGCCTCTTGGACGGGATCTCCATTCATTACAGCTTCCTGGGTCACCCATGATTTTGGGGAATGCAGCACGTTATAGTCACTGTGTATTAACGACCACCTGTATAGAACGACACCTGTCTAATACGACCACACTTTCCCCTTCGTTACTAATGCTCACACTATGAACATGACGGACAAAGAAAGAGGACAAAATATACAGTTCCTCATTCTACACTCAACAATCGCTGTGGTAGACAAAGGAAGCATCCCTTCACTGCTATTATGTAAAAATGTGTAGAACAGGTGAATATGCATGTGACACCTGTTCTACATATTTTTACTTAATAGCAGTGAAGGGATGTTCCTTTGTCTACCACAGCAATTGTTGAGGGTAGAATAAGGAACTGTATATTTTGTCCTCTTTCTTTGCCCCTCATGTTCATAGTGTCAATTGATTTTTTAAAGGGGAAGTCCGCCCTGATATTAAGTTGGTGAACGCCGTAGAGATGCCAAGTTGTTTTTGATTGATCGTAATTTCAAAAAAGCCTAACTTGCTTAATTTTGATAGGAATTTGCTCTAACTTTCACTGACCTGTTCATCTCATTTTCTGCTTCTATTAAAGCATATCTGCACTAGTTTGGCCATGAGGGATTTGACCTCCCTGCGTGGTCACTGACAGGTGGTTATCTCATCAAATTAGCTCTCGATTAACATAAAAAAAAGGGGGCCATGGGGGACCAACGGTACCGCTTAGGCATTGTTTGCTATATAGAGGGCGCAAGTAGCTACAAGAAATACAGTCCCACTTTAAAACTAACTTAATATTAGGGTGGACTTTCCTCTTTAAATTCAAAGTCACATTTATCTCCTTCTGACTGAATGAGGTACAATGTTTTTTGGCAATATATCATAAATAAGGCAAACAAAGATGCGAATACCAGAAAGCAGAGCTTGTGTTCGGAACGCCAGGACAAATGGAAGAAAAAAAATCAACTCAATCAGTGAAAAGTGCTGCAAACAAAATGAGTACATGTGACTACACACGCACACAAATACGGCATCAGCATTTTTAAAACATTTTTGTTAATATAATTATATTTACAATATGAGGGTCTTTCAAGAAATATCCTTCTAATGTTTACTTTACAATGATATTATTCTATACATGAATTTTAAAAAGAATGAGAAATCTTACGAATGATTTTTCATAGTTTTCATTACCAGAACTTCACTTCAATTCCTTTTAATCATTAACAGCGGTGTCAGTCAAAGCTTCGGGTTTCTGCACAACTGATGATTGGAAATGAGGATGTCAATTATAATCTTACTCTAACTTTAAAGATACTATGTCCCTTTTGCAGCCAACATCAAATTCTGTAGAACTTTGCAGAAATTATGAATATGTCATGTATGTCCTATCTATGAAATTTAAACGTTAGCAGTATCCTAATATATTATTCAAATTATGCAAGGAAACCCGTTTACATAAAATGAGCTGTAAAGGGTACATGAGCATTTGTCTACATCAATAACCAACTTCTTGTATTGGCCAAAATTAAACTGATTGAATCTTTGCGCAGCATAAAAAGTACGACCATTCGGTACAATGGTCTGAAAATCAGACTATTACTAACTGGCTCTGTAGCTCCTTAGTCGATTTGAAAACTAATAGTCGTTATTTTCCAACTTAAAGACATTTTCAAGCCCCCCCCCCCCCTTTTTTTTTTTTTTAGGGAAGGGCTAAATTAGTAATATCTTTGGGCCTGCAAATGGGACATAGTACCTTTAAAGCGCAGGATGGTACCGGGAGAGCGTTATGGTGCGACAAATCATACCTTTCCTTAATTAATGTTTACTTTAGGTGACACGAAAGATGATGGAATCACCATTCACTTCCATAAAAACTTTCGCACAATTTACTCCTGTCTACGGCTGATTTATGTTTGGAGAAATGGAGATGTATAAGAGAAAATTACAGACCAAACTATTACAAAGGACAGGAAAATGAAAGGCACGCGCACAATCATGACATTAATTAATTCATTGTGACGTCATTGACGTAGAGATGAAATCCCTTCTATCCCATCTCGTAATGAAACTTGTCTTGGTAATGGATGATTGCCCCCAAGTCATGTACATAATAGAGATGAAGGGTAGAGGATAGACAGTAAAATACAAGGTTGTAAACAGGGGGAAAGCTGTCAGTGCATGCTTACATAATTATCGAGGGTCGTCATTTGATTTCTCTCGACCTACTTTCTTAAAACCATTGTGAGATATTGCTATGTCTTGTAGTACATTGGAATCCTTTTCCATGCATAATAATAATATTCCGCTTTTACATAGCGCTTAATACAAATGTCTATAAGCGCTTTACATACTATTACCCCGTCATTGGATTCAATACTTGCATTCTCTGCTCTCGTCTATACTTGAAATTTACTTTAATCTGTCTGAAATAACGATCGATTTAGTTCTCATAACAGACATCATTATCGTTTGAAATATTAACACATGTATCCACATCCTCTCATTATCTATCATGCTGATGCATTTCTGTCAACCATTAGCTCTAGCCAATGGCGTTGCCGAATCGAGTAGAGAGTGAGAGACAAAGAGAAAGAGAGAACGAGAGAAAGAGAGAGAGAGAGAGAGAGAGAGAGAGAGAAAGAGAGAAAGGGGCAAAAAGAGAAAGAGAAATCGTGAAATAGAGAAAAGATAAGAGATAAGGAAAGAAAGATAAAGAGAAGAAGGAAGAGTAAGTGAAAGTGAAAGAGAAAGAGACAGAGAAATGGAGAGAGCAAGAGTAGAAGAGAAGAGAAGAAAAGAATGGGGGAAACGTCATGCAAAAATCGTTTTCTTACACATTACAAATCGGATTTAGTAATCAAAGGACCAAACAACCAACAAGCAAAATAGGGCCTACCAAATAAAGACCGCGCACCCTCTCCTATCATTCCCAGGCTACGCCCCTGAGTCTGCTTGTGGATTTTTCATCTAATAGATAGGTTGCGTGATTTCCCCCAGGAACTCTCTTAATTCGCACTAGGTTATTATAAAAACTATATACTAATCCATCAAAGGTATGCTTAAGCAAGTATGTGATCTTGTTAGTAAGTGCATGATTTTGTTAGTATAACAAACATTATCAATGCTACACGCGGTGTAAAAATGAAAAGAATTTTAATTAACGTACTTTTTATATTTCTGTATCACAATGAATTGATGGTTCAAGGTCATGTTCGCAAAGCCAATGAAGGGGAGTGCCGTGATTGAAAATAAAAAGCATCGACTGGAAGTGGAAAGGTTTTAATAAAATCTCGCGTTATAAAGAGAGAGCGAGAGAGAGAGAGAGAGAGAGAGAGAGAGAGAGAGAGGGTGGGGGATAAAGAGACCAAAAGGCGGACAAAAGAGGAATCTAAAATGAAGGAGATTAAGACTGGGGCATAAATAGAAGTGTTAAGAAACAACAGAGAGACGGTGCATGAAAGAGGAATCTAGGTTGAGAAACTGGAAACTTGTCAAAGTGGTTTTCTATTTCGCAAAAACATATATCAATGTCTCGATCATGTCGAAACGAATATCTCATATCGGTTATCAAAATCATCTTTATAATCGAAAATTTAATGAATTGTAGCTCACAATTAAAATATACGACCGTATACAAGTTATTTAGACGTAATTGAGCCGGTGTCACAGACAATCCGTTCCGGCCAGGCGATCCGTTCCGCCAGAACCAATTGGCGGAATATTTATCCGCCGATTCGATCCCTCGAAACCCAGATCGAATCACGTGCAACACCGACAGACACGGGATGTCGGTAATGACCCCGCCCCTACTGCTGATGACTAATGACACCAATCCTTGTCTGAGTCTGAATATTGACCAATCATGCTTTTTAAACTAATGAACGGACGGATAATTGCATATCAAGTCAATCTGCATTATAGTGGCGACAACGGAAGCTGATATCCATCACGACCGACCGTTAATTGGCCCGACAATAAACGGTAGAGATCGTTCTAGACGCAGTGTCAAGTCTGCACATGAGTCAACACTTTTAAGGGAAAGTCAATATGACTTTCAAATTCGTTTTTCACACACAAAATCTAATTACGATGGACACGCCTTTATTTTTATACATGTTCGTATAGTTTTGAATGTCGTGTTTTTTTAAACAGATTTTATAATGGGATGATATTGTGCATCTAAAGGACATAGAATGATAGAAACATGCATCAACTTAAAGATAATTTCGTACGTATTTGCCATTTTTGCAAAGAAAAATAAGAAAACTAAGAAAAATATGCAACAGGATACCGTCAAGTTGTAAAAAGTGTTTTATTCATGACAAAATGCAATTATTTGTAAGGCTACGCGACAACAATATCCATTCCGACATGATACAAAGCCTATCTTAGCCACTGACAATCCATTTCTTTAGATATCATAATCATAATGCAAGCAAAAACAAAATATTCTGTGACTGTCGTCGAAATATTATATTTTATTTATTTTTGTTATGATTTTATCTTGTCATACCTTTCTACAGAACGAGATGGAACAACGAATAACTATCAATGGATGGAGAAAGTTGGTAAGTCGAATCTACTTTCTACCACCATCAAGGGGGAAAAATCAAAATAATAATATTATGGTAATCATAATTGCGACATAATTTATTTTTCATATAATGAAATGTTCAAGTGTTTTATAAATTGTTAGGTTTTTGCACGATTTCAGCTGACTTTATTCAACTTTATGTGCAAATGATCAATAGATGAAATGAAGAATCTTGTTAAGTCATAATAATATTCATTAAGTCTTTCTTCAATACCATAAGATACTATATGGTATGTTTTGTCGAATGTTGGCACCCTGAAAAAGGCAACCATATCTTGATTTCGCATATATATTATTCCTTTTATTAATCAGGTTTCTTTCATAACTACATGAATATATTTCAAGGACATCGCTAGATTGGTACCGTGCGTAGATAAATTGGGGATTTGGTATTAATGAATTTGGGATTTAAAATTGCCAAGCTTTGTCGGCAAATCACAACAATACGATTTTTTTAAACCTGTTGATTATCTGATTACCCTATTTTGCTGGTTTGTCATATAGATAGTGTACATGTATACTGACATTTTTTTAAAGAGTTAGAATGTTTTTTACAAATCGAAGGGGGTTGAATAATTTATATGGGGGTTTACCAAGACAAAACATGTGAATCTTTCAGAAAAGCGTAGTAAAGAATTTGACTGTGGAAAGATTGCAAAAGGCACAGTGAGATCTAAATTGTACAGATATCAAGATAAATTATTACGATGATAAACGCTGCAAGGAGGTCTAGAAATAGGCAGAGAACTGGGGATACTTTAACCAAAACACCTGCGAATGAACACCAAAGGATGACGAGGACAAAGCTTGTTATACATGTATTTCTTTAAAGGTTTATCTTTGGTAACATAAGAGTGTCGTGGCTTATATGAAATCAGTCAGTAGACAATCGGAAACCCGATCTGAGATCAAATTCCAGATGCTTCGACAAGACCTCAATTTGCATTTGCCACTTTTTACCTGAGGGAGAAATGTGAAATTACCAGGACAACAGAAACCTTCCGTGATTGCAAACTTGTCAGCGCTACGTGCATGAAAAAGAAGGGGAAAAATCAGAACGTAGCTTTATATATAAGTTAGTAGTGGTCCCCAGGAAGTGAAGATTGTACAAACGATGAATGTGTGCATTGGTATCTGAATGGTTTGATCAGCAAATAATTTTTAATGACCCCCAAAATACAGGACAAGCATCAATATAGTTATTATTGTTTTTGTTTGAGAAGATTTGCAATAAGTGACCATGCAAACAAAGCAGGGTATTACAGGTGACTGGTTAATTATTACATCAATGTCAGCGCAGTGTGCATAGAGACAACGATAACCGTTAAAGATAAATAAAGAAAAATATGATTTTTATCAGAATCACTGGAATTCATAAACTTGTAGACATTATCTTATCGATTATCATCCCATTCCTTATTGTTCTGTCTGTAGCAATGGAGGGATGAATTCCTCGGATGGGACAAAGAGACGTATGACGGTATTGATTCACTGGAAGTATCACCTGACAAAATATGGCTACCTGATATCAAACTCTACGAAAAGTAAGTACAATTGTGCAGGGGAATCATGCGTGACTGTCAATATCCAGCTTATTCAAGTCAAGGATGAGGCGGGGATGGGGAGGAGGGGCAGGAGAGGGAGGAGGGGCAGGAGAGGGAGCTGGGGGCGGGGAGGAGGGGGAGGACGGGGGATGAGCATCTTCGGTGCATTTAGTCGACAATCAGAACAAGAGCAAGCTCAGATTTGTAGAAGGAATGTTGGATGTGCTGAACAATGGGGAAGATATCCTTTTGGGTAAATGGGCGATTAGAGTTGCCCCCTCCCCCTCTCCCTCCCCATCCCCGGCCCCCATGCGACCATAATAACCACCATTGATTTTAGTCATCCAATGTGGCCTTTGATACAATGTACAAAATAGCGTACCATATATTAGATGATAGATGTAAGGTACATTCATATAATATATTTCTTTTACCAAAACTTATATTTTCGAATGTTTATTTTTTATTTTATTTTCTGTGATCCACGCGGGTTCATTCTTATACAAATTTAACTAAGTAACTGTTAATAAAACTAAATATTCATATTACATTTCTATTATTGATAAAGGTCCGAATAGTTCGATAGTTGTTTCAAATGTAAGGGCTACCCGTTTAGAGACTTCATACATTTGTGAGGCTGAGAGATAGTTCCAAAAAACATGTACTCCTCTTGTAAAATGCAACGAAAGATCTCTTTCTAACAAACCATTGCACTCCCCTTTCTCCCGTCCTACATCCTCGACAGCATTGACAAGGACTTCCAGAGCGAAGACGCCGTCAATGCCCTCGTGACCAATGACGGTATGGTCACGTGGTACACCCCGATGGTCATCAGTAGTTCGTGTAAGATCAACGTCCGCTACTTCCCGTTCGATGTCCAGACCTGCACACTGACCTTTGGTTCCTGGGCTTATACCATCGACTCGCTCAACCTCAATTATTCTGATGATGCAACCCAGGTATTAATTTTGTTGTTGTTGTAATGTTTGTTGTTGTGTTTTGTTGTTGTCCCAGCTGATTATTGCACACGAGGGTCATTTGTCTGGCGCGCTGGACTGCGTCAGTAACTTGAGCATTCTTTGACGCGTTCTACGAAGGTGACATTGCACAAAAATAATACAAAATGAATAGTGTTATGACTATTGCACACGATGCGTCAGCTAATGACGTAGGGCTGCGTCAGCGACCCATGTGGTCTTTGACGCACCATTAGCGAGTGACATCCTAAACAAAATAATGCAAACTGAACAGTTTTACCACTGCGTTGAATTACAGGCGCATCCCCATAATGCCTTCGTAGGCTGGATTAGCGTAAGCAATAACGCAATCGAAATGACAGCTCGTGTGCAACGTTCAAATGACTTCTCTTCAAAACAACGGGTTTACTCGTTCCATACCAAGCCATGGGTTTTGCATTTAGGTACTTTGATAAATCATCACTGCTCACAAGCACGCATACATGCTAATAAATACATGTTCAATGGCGGACTCAAATATTCCTAATATTCTAGTCCAAGTTTTTTGAAAATTATCGAAAATATTGAGAAAAAAATTAACATCTTTCTTGTTTATCTCTAATGGAGATATCATACCAATACTTTGAGCAACTTTGTTGGTGGCCGATTGTACTCATTAAGTCTATAGTAACAAAACTTGATCCTCGCACTCTTTATGTTAACAAATGTTTAAATAAATTAAATTATTAAATAAGTCTTCAAATTAATTTCATTGATCGTACATTATTTTCATTGCCCAAGCGTAATCCTATCTTAGTTTTCACATATTATCTTAGAACGTCTTTCTTAACAACGGCGTGTGGGACCTGCGCAAGATCCACTTGGAACGCATCACGGCCAAGTACGACTGCTGTCCATTCCCTTACAGCTCTGTAAAGATTGATCTCTTCCTGGAACGTCGGTACGAGTTTTACCTCTTCAACATGGTGGTGCCTTGCGTCATGCTCTCCGCCATTAACGCTTTGGTGTTCCTTGTTCCGCCGGAGTCCGGGGAAAAGATCTCCTTCTCCGTGGCCAATCTCCTGGCGTCCATCCTGTTCCAGCAGCTGATCGGGGAACTCATGCCACCGCTTGGTGATGAGATTCCGCTACTTGGTGAGTCAAGTTATGTTATGATTTTTACCTTTTGATACGTTGCACACGAAGCGTCAATAGGGTCTTTTAGATTTGCTCGTCGACATAGTGGACTGCTACGTATGACGGCATTGTGACATCCTTTTAAGGCATTGTCTGTGCCTTAAAAGGACGTCACACGTAGCAGTCCACTATGTCGATGTGCACATCTAAAAGTCCCTATTTGCTGATGGAGGACTGCGTCAGTGACCTGCATTGGGTTTTACGCTCCACGTGACATAGGTGAGAGTGACATAGTACGCAAAATACATCGAAATGACATTGATATGAATTACTGGCGTATAGGTTGATTGCCTTCACAAGCTTAAGTAGCGCTGGTATTAACACAATCGATATGACATATCTCCAAATCTAATCAATTGATGAAAGACAGCGAAGAGAGACACAGACAGACATGGACAGAAAAGAGGAAAGTAAAGAAAGATGAAAATGGAAGAAAGAAGATGAATGCCTTTCCTCCCAGACTCTCATGGACTACGCTCTCACATTTATTCTACCTAATAGGACAAACATGGCAGAAGACACTAAAATTTAGTCTTGTGAATATTAAGGAGTAAGATTGGCTATAGATATTACCTGATCATGCCTATGTGTGCCATTATGATGTAATATTGAATGCACCTTTATCTTTTAGGTATGTTTTTCCTGTACATGGTGGGAATGAGCTGCGTGGCCCTGGGGGCAAGTGTCCTCATACTGCGCATGTTTCATCGCCTGGGAGAAGAGCCTGTCCCGAGGTATCTGAAACGCATATTCCTCCGTCGCGCCTCTGTCTCGCTTTCCTTCAAGCGCGCAAGCGTTGCAATCAAGAAGACGCGCACCAACAGACTCAGCTCCAACGGAGACGACGGCTACAGGCGCGGCAGCAACCTCAGCTCGACCATCATCAAGGAAAACGCCAACGACACAAACTCCAAAATGGCGGACGAGTCGTCCTACCCGCTGCATCCGAAGAACGACGTGAACTCGACGTCGAAACTGAGCATACACCGTCAAGGGTTCGGTGACGATTACGAAAGCGAGTCTTCGACGTTGAAGCGGGAAGTTATTCGGCAAGAATGGATGACAGTGGCTAGGAAACTGGATAAAACTCTAGGAGCCCTGGTGGCTGGATCAACGTTGCTTGTCATCACTCTCATCTTTATCCTCTTTGTGTTCAGAGGATGATCTGTCACGTGACTGCATGGTCACGTGACTGGAGATCTATTGATAAACGATGTATGTTTAAATATGATTGGACATGTTTTCCTTCAAATGAATAGTATCGTCTGGAGCCACAAGGGCTTTAGCTCATATACATTGGCTCATGCATGCAGAGTTAACGTCCCTGTGAGTCCAAAACAGACGATTGGTTGAATTTCATGTCATTTATCTAGAAAAAATATCTCATTCATTATAATATATCATAATAAAATACAGTTGACCCTCTTTTGAAGGTCACATAGGTAAAGTGACTTTTGAGGATAGATTGCCTTTACAGGCAGACAAGTTTAACCACAAAATATTCCCAAAAAAGAAAAACGGTGAGATAATATAGGTGCATTATAAATAGGATGCTTATTGGAGTCAAGTCACAAGTTTGACAAATTTGACTGTACCAATCGCATTAACTATATATGGTTGACAACATTAGTGCAATGCATCTCTCTTGCCATCTTTACTTCAGAGCGATCGTAAAAATTATATATAGATACATATACAGACACGGACGAAATTATTTTACCGATGTATATTTCACTCGAAAGTGTCCATACCATTTCGAATCAATTTTGCATCATGGCTTAACACACATTATTAATATCATGTGTAAGTATTTTTTTCTTCTACGTTATAGATATAAATTATTTAGATTTGTGTGACTATTTTTTTTTTTTTACATGGAGAGACAGTAATAGATTATTATGAGTATGTTTATAATGACAAAAAGTACTTTTCATAAATCTGTTTAGTCTTTTTTTAATACAAAAATATAACATATGTGTAAAGTGAAATATCTATATAACTATGTTAATACTATGCCTTGCTAAATGAAAGCTTCTAGCTCATTATATGCTAATTATCTCGTCGTTGAATATTTCAAGACGTGGCTAATAATCGGATGATTCGTTTCGATACCTCAGCCACACCCACACAGGGGCACTGTTTCACGCAACTGTCACAAGTATAAGTTCGCCCACATCCTAGTATTACTGCTAATTTCGAATTTCGGTGGAATGTCGACGTACAACTTGCGCTTTACGGTTTCGTGAAACGCTACCCAGACCGGTTCTAGGACACCTACCCACTGGAGATCCACCCCTGAATAACCACCCCCGTCAACTACCCCTAGGACAACTACCCCCTAGGACAACTATCCCTAGGGCAACCCCCCTGTAGGACGACTACCCCCTGGGACAACTACCCCCCGGACAACTACCCCCAGTAAATTACCCCCTAAGACAACTACCCCCGACGACTACCCCCGGACAACTACACCATAGGACAACCTACCCCGGACAACCTCCACCCGAACAGCTATTCCCCAGACAACTACCCTCTAGGACAACTACCCCCGACAACTATCCTAGGGGTAGTTTCCTAGGGTAGTTGTCCCGGGGTATAGTCGTCCTAGAGGGTGGTTGCCCTAGGGGTAGTTGACTGGGGAGCAGTGGCGTACGCAGGATTTTTTCAAGGGGGTTTTAGAATTTTGAAATGACTCAGCCAGCCGCTGAATAAGCGGGGGGGGGGGGGGGTAAGAGGAATTTTTTTTGTGGTCCCAAAAATCGCAACGACTCAGCCAGGGTGGGGGGGGGGGGTAAGAGGACACTTTTTTTTTTTTTTGGTCTCGAAATTTGAAAATTTGAAATTTTTCTTCGTTGGGGGGGGGGGGGTAAGGTCACCTTTTTTAGGTCAGCCATGGGCATAATTAACCCAAAGGTGGGGGGTTAGGGGGGTTTAGGGGGGTTAACACCCATAAAAATACCAAAGGGGGGTTCAACCCCCCCCCCCCCCTGCGTACGCGCCTGCTGGGGAGGGTTATCGGGGGTGGACGTCCAGGGGGTAGGTGTCCTGATACGACCCAGACTGACTACACATCAAACAGAGAGTTGGTCGGTTCAGAGTCGGTATAGAATCTGGCTAGCTGGGTCGACTGAGGTACGTAAACATATGGCCTAAAAGCGATATAAGTTAACATAATTGCTATCACAATGGTCCTAGGTGTGTGAAAAATACCATTTCATGAACATTGTTACTGGTTTAACTTATCGTATTAAATATCGAAGTTGTGAGTGTTATCTAATAATCAATAGTTTTAAGATGAAACTTTGTTATTCAATTTGTCTTTTCATTTACAACATTATACTTCTTCACTTAGAATTTGAACGAAAGGTTTGAAGCATTGCTTGTCGTAATTATAACAGGGATTAATTATTATTCCAAAATTTGTGTCTATGTTTTTAATGGCGCAGAGATGATGCATTTATTGACATGTTGATAAAATTTTACAATATGGATGTTATCATACATATTTTGCCGGCTTCTTCTTTATGTATATATGTTGTGAACTGATTTTCAGCATTTTAGGCCCTGTTTGTTTGTTTCATTAGCATTGGGATGTTGAGGATTATCAGATGGTTGCTACGACAACACTCAAGACAATAAATCTTATTTGTTGCAACAGCATAAACAGTGTGTGGTTTACGCAATTTTTTTGGTTGATTGATTACATTTCAGAATTCGTGTGTAGTCAAATCCTTTTTTCCGAAAGGAGAATGATCTGAATGCCCATTGCACACATAACGTCATTTTCCTGACGTATGACTGCGTCAGCAAATGACACAGTATTTGACATTAATATATCGTACATAAATGAATACAAAATTAGAAGGGAAAATAAAGCATTGAAACAACTGGCGTATGTGCTAATTACCTATACTGGCGTTTTTAGCGCAGTTAATAACGTAGCCTTGCGTCAGCAGAATATAGCCTCCTGTGCAACCAACATCAGCCGAACAAAACACAAAAATAAGATTGAGGTTGAACTTTATCATGATTCACAGAACGTTTTATCAAAGACCCTTCATAGATATTTTTCAATAGCATCCTCTTTGTTGAAAAAACGCCAGGGTTGATTGCAGCTACACTGAGAGTGCAAATACCCATACGCCTTTAAAAAAATATTATTATTTCTTTATATTGCAACCAAATCATTAGGTTGTGTTGCAAAAAATTACCGAATTGATTCATTTTTATTTCCTGGCTACAACGAGGAATACCATGGCTGCTTTCATTTTCGTTACGTCGATCATAATACAAGACGCTCCGGTTTGAAGTAACTAATACTATGTGCAATTTGATTTGGATATTTGATTTGGATATTTGATGAGAAACTGTGGATAATCAGTGCATAATTATTAGAAAGACATGATGAACAGTGTAATGTAAAGCAAAAGGTTAACCATGAATGTGTATAACTGCCTTACCTTGTTTTCTACTGTATATTTATTAGCACTTCTTTTTCAAAGTTCAACGACTTTCTTGGTAGAGGGCGTGAAACTTATCTCCAAATTTATTCTCTTTAATATTTTGCGATACTACTTGATTTACTTCGTCAGTTTTACTTGTGACAATAGTGCAAGAACTATACAATCTACATGTGTAGAACTAGATGAGGCTATAAATAGTCTAAAACAGTTTTGAAAGATAATTATTTAATTTACATGTTGATTGATGTACTGAAATGAATGATAGCATGCTGAGAATATTTCTCAGGAAGTATCGTAAAATTATCGAATGTAATTTTAGTAAAATGTATGTCTTCTTTTCTAATACTGTTGCTTTCATGTCGAAGAAAAGTATTAATGTGAGATTCCTTAAAATGCTATTTTGTAAACAAAAATGTGGAAAACAGATCTTGATATTCTAGCTGCAGTGGTCAGAGACAAAGAGAGGGAGAGAGAGAGAGAGAGAGAGAGAGAGTGGGAGGGAGAGAGAGAGAGAGAAGAGAGAGAGAGAGAGAGAGAGAGAGAGAGAGAGAGAGAGAGAGAGAGAGAGAAGGACAGTAAGACGTTTAAAAAGGACCAGAGATACAAGCATCATAATGATGTGCTGGATTAAAGTGATGGTAATGAATGATGATGAAGATGGTGGTGGTGGTGATAATAAAGATGATTATTGCGATCATAGAGATGATGATTTTGATTATGATGATGATGATGATGATGATGATGATGATGATGATGATGATTATAATTAAGGCGATGATGATGATTATGATGATAAAGATCTATGGGATGACGATGATGGTGGTTGTAGGTTGATAAATTATCTTTAATGAAGATAATAATAATAGTTATAGTGATGATGATGGTGCTGTTTTGGATGATGATGATGATGATGATGATGGTGTTGGGGGTGGGGGTGGGGATGGGGTGATAAGGAAGAGGATCATAATGATGGTGATGACTCTATTGCATCTCCGAGGCTCAATCATTGCATATCTGGACAAGTACCGTCTCCGTCTGTCTCTCTCTGTCTCTCTGTCTCTCTCTCTCTCTCTCTCTTTCTCTCTCTCTCTCTCATTTCCTTTTCGTCACATTCGAGGTAGAGGTAAGGTGGAAGGAGGAGAGGAAGTGTGGATGGAAGAGGTAGGGTCTAGGGAGGAGAGATGGGTACGTGGGAGGTAAGTTGGACGGAGGGGTGGTAGAGGTAAGTTGGACGGAGGGGTGGTAGAGGTAGGGTGGATTGAGGGGTGGTAGAGGTAGGGTGAATGGAGGGGTGGTAGAGGTAGGGTGGATTGAGGGGTGGTAGAGGTAGGGTGAATGGAGGGGTGGTAGAGGTAGGGTGGATGGAGGAGAAGTAAGGTGGGTGGAGGAGAGGTAAAAAGGAAGGAGGAGAAATAGGGTGGATGGAGGAGAAGTAGGGTGGATGGCGGAGAGGTAGGGTGGATGGCGGAGAGGTAGGGTAGATGGAGAGGTAGGGTGGATGGAGGAGAGGTAGGGTAGATGGAGAGGCAGAGTGGATGGAGGGTGGTAGAGGTAGGGTGAATGGAGGGGTGGTAGAGGTAGGGTGAATGGAGGGGTGGTAGAGGTAGGGTGGATGGAGGAGAAGTAAGGTGGGTGGAGGAGAGGTAAAAAGAAGGAGGAGAAATAGGGTGGATGGAGGAAAAGTAGGGTGGATGGCGGAGAGGTAGGGTGGATGGCGGAGAGGTAGGGTAGATGGAGAGGTAGGGTGGATGGAAAAAAGATAGGGTGGATGGAGGAGAGGTAGGGTAGATGGAGAGGCAGAGTGGACGGAGGGTGGTAGAGGTAGGGTGGATGGAGGGGTGGTAGAGGTAGGGTGGATGGAGGAGAAGTAAGGTGGGTGGAGGAGAGGTAAAAGGAAGGAGGAGAAATAGGGTGGATGGAGGAGAGGTAGGGTGGATGGCGGAGAGGTAGGGTGGATGGCGGAGAGGTAGGGTAGATGGAGAGGTAGGGTGGATGGAAAAAAGATAGGGTGGATGGAGGAGAGGTAGGGTAGATGGAGAGGCAGAGTGGATGGAGGGTGGTAGAGGTAGGGTGGATGGAGGAGAGGTAGAGGTAGATGGAGAGGCAGGGTGGATGGCGGAGAGGTAGGGTGGATGGCGGAGAGGTAGGGTAGATGGAGAGGTATGGTGGATGGAAAAAAGATAGGGTGGATGGAGGAGAGGTAAGGTGGAAGGAGGAGAGGTAGGGTCTGGGGAGGAGAAATGGGTACGTGGGAGGTAGGTTGGACGGAGAGGTGGTAGAGGTAGGGGAATGGAGGGGTGGTAGAGGTAGGGTGGTGGAGGAGAGGTAGGGTGGATGGAGGAGAGGTAGGGTGGATGGAGGGTGGTAGAGGTAGGGTGGATTGAGGGTGATAGAGGTAGGGTGGATGGAGGAGAGGTAGGGTGGATTGAGGGTGGTAGAGGTAGGGTGAATGGAGGGGTGGTAGAGGTAGGGTGGAGGGGTGGTAGAGGTAGGGTGGATGGAGGAGAGGTAGGGTAGATGGAGAGGTAGAGTGGATGGAGGGTGGTAGAGGTAGGGTGGATGGAGGAGAGGTAGGGTGGATGGAGGAGAGGTAGGGTAGATGGAGAGGCAGGGTGGATCGAGGGTGGTAGAGGTAGGGTGGATGGAGGAGAGGTAGGGTGGATGGGGGTGGTAGAGTTAGGGTGGATTGAGGGTGGTAGAGGTAGGGTGAATGGAGGGGTGGTAGAGGTAGGGTGGATGGAGGAGAGGCAGGGTGAAGGGGTGGTAGAGGTAGGGTGGATGGAGGATGGTAGAGGTAAGGTGGATTGAGGGTGGTAGAGGTAGGGTGAATGGAGGGGTGGTAGGGGTAGGGTGGATGGAGGAGAGGTAGGGTACATGGAGAGGGAGGGTTCATGGAGGGTGGTAGAGGTAGGGTGGATGGAGGAGA